CCGTTGGACACAACGATTGAGAAGACGGGCAGCAGTTCGGTGCGTGCTGACCGGCGGGAACACGAAACTGCGCATCACAGTCTTGCTTTGTGCCCTCGCCGACGGCACGCAACTGCGACTGTACGTCATCTTGAAAAAGAAAACTCTACCAAAGATTCATTTGCCTGCCGGTGCGGTGGTGCGCGCACACAAGAACGCGTGGATGAACAGTGACTTGTTCGTGGACTGGATCAAGACGGTATGGGAGAAGAGGCCCAGTGCGATGCTCGCAAAGAGGTCCATGCTTGTTCCGCGGCCACATAACTGAGGAAGTGAAGGACCACCTTTCACGCAACAGCACCGACTTAGTTGTTATACCCGGTGGAATGACGTCAATGTTGCAGCCTCTAGATGTGTCGCTTAACAAGCCCTTCAAAGCGCATGTCAAGCGCTATTACGCCAAGTGGATGGCCAAAGGCCTCTACGACTTGACACCGACAGGACGAGTCCGAAGGCCTGATATTGCCCTATTCTGCAAGTGGATTGTCGAGGCATGGAAGGCCATTCCAGGTGAGATGGTGCGAAAAAGTTTCAAGAAATGCTGCATCACAAACATGGATGGAACCGAAGATGACCTTGTACATGACAGTGAGGACTGCGGCTAAGTGATAGCTCTAGCGAGAGCAGCGAGAGTGAGTGAATTGTGACTGGCCTTGCAGACAGCGTATTCTGCTTGCTAAATAAAGCTTTTTCTGTCTACATATGTGCTATGTTGCTTGAGCAGTAGCTTTTGTACAGCCTTTCCTGTATATGAAATGTGCGGGCAATACGCGAGGATTTTTTTTTCTTTCTCGGTGAGCTGAAAGTGGGAGTGCGGATTATATGCAGGGACGGGTTATATGCGCAAAAATACGGTAAGATTGTTTTGCTCCACCGGTCTGGCAGTCAGTATTTTTTAAATTTTTCAAAGCATTGCTGCACATTATGTTCACAATTGTGCTAAATATAATTCCTAAGTATAATGTGAAACGTAAACCACAAATTCTTAAATGGGGCATGTCTCAAACAACTAATAGTTTTAAAGTAAATTAAGAAAAAGGCACTTTTTTAGACTTGATAAAAAACTTCATAGAATTGAAGCCGAGCTAATGTTCTACCTTAATCTGTAAAAGCATGATGCATTATTTTTGCAAGATCGAAGTTACAAAGCCACCAATGTGGCCACATTGATGTTAACGCATGACCACTCAATGAGAAAGCATATATCTACAGTTAGTATAACCAGGATGTTTAGGTCGTACATAAGTTCTCTTGCTTTCCAGAAACAGCTTATTGACATAAAACAGACTACAAGTTGCTTTTAAAGTTGCATGTACGTGTTTGTGCATATCATAGTAATGTTCCTAACATTGCTACCACGGCGACGAGAAAAGAGAGAAAGCTCTTACTCTGCGTGACAAACTATAACTCGGTTCATACTTAATGGATTCCAAAAATGTTTAACTACTCTACGGTAGACTCCCTTTAAGACGAACTTGAAGGGACCACGATCATTTGTTCGTCCTATCAGGAGTTCATCTGATCAGAAGTGCCCCACAAAACCAAATTCCAACACGCCAAGTATAGCTAAATATGTTCCTTGAAAATGCTGAATGAACTACATATACCTATAATGGAGAGGAGAGTACCTATAATGGAAAGGAGAGGAACAAAAAAAAAAGCATTTATTAGGTTTGGCTTGATAAAAACCTGCTTTCAAGTAGGGTATTTAGATTAGTCTAAAGAGTACTCATTTTCATGAGTTCATAATATGCTCACAAATAAACTATACTGCACTTTAACAATAAAACTGTAACTTGACCCTATTTTAACTATTAGGAAAAGATAAAAAGAAAAAGACATGCACAAGTTTCCCTCAAAGAATGGAAAATTTATTTTTGTGGCTGTTTACCTTCTGAGAGGCTGTTTTACTGGCTTTGCTCTCACTTTCCGATATGCCTCCATTCCATAACACTTCCTTGACAGAGCCAATATGCGCCAAGTTTACAACCTTTATTTGAGGTTTGGATATTTTCTTTTTTTCGGCTTGCCGTACTTTTCCTGAACGACATGCAGCTGGAGATCTCCGTTTACGCTACTCACGATCACGAGCCTCGAGCACAGAAGAAAGACAAGGCATAGTAATATTTAGTACGCAAAATAACCTTTTTCTGTCATGCACTTTCACAATGAAAATCGCGCATGACAATTTGCTGCATTTCACTGGGAACAAATACGATGTGCACAGGCCCCATACAAAACAATGCAAACTGACCAAAACATGTGCTCAGGCATCATTGCATGACGCCGATGGCAATGCCTCTCATTCCTCTGATGGAAGTGCTAGCGCCGCATATGTGGTTCCTGTTTCATGTGATTATAATGCACAGATAATCTTTATTTCCGTGTTAACTTTTATTTGGCTTTTCTTTTGCCCTATTTTCCTTGCCCTTTCGCCTCTACGCAAGCTCTTGTGTTATTTCGTTCTCCACTGTAGTCCTGTTGGGGAACTGAAGAATGCAAAGAGAATACAAAAGGATAAACGCTTTTTGTTGCTTTCTTTGCTGATAAAGCCAGCCCTTCCTCCACTTACAGGCCAGGGGTAAGGGAGATACCAGCTTTATGCGCAGACCTTTCTTTTCCTCTTGCTTCACCCTCCATATCGCAATTTGTTTTCGGTTTTCTTTCGAGTCTTTGCGCGAGGAAGTTTTTATTATTCATTTTTCTTTCTCTTGTTCACTTGAATGTTCTCATCAGGACTATCATGTTCGTTGCGTAAAATACCCATTGTGGTTGGTCGCTGCGAAAGTTCGTCTTAACAGAAGAGGCTTTTTACACGGTTCGTGATATGCACATTTTTTTTTGCATTCAGTCTATGGAAAACCAAACAAACATTCTCATGATGATAAGTGCTGCAGCACGAGCATGAAGGTGCTAGAAGAAACGTGAAACGAAAGACGAGGCAAGGAAAGCAAAGAGGACAACACGAGCGCTGCACACGTCCTGCATTGAATGCATTGAATATTAAAGGTGTGCCTTCGCTGCACTGAATGAACCGTCCACTTGGCACACCAGAGCACGGTTCAGATTCAAGCAGGCATGAACGCGCAAACGGTACACAAGTGGCCCGGCACTGACAGCATGAGCCGAATAGGCAGCGGGCTGCATGCAACTAGACAGTTATGATCAGCTATCCATAGAAGTACCACACTCCAGTGAAATGGTGTCAGTTCATTGCAAAAGGTGGTTTAATTCATTCGTAAGCGCACAGCGACCGTCACATCAAGACTTGAAGAGGCTTACCCAATGTCACTCAAGGGATTACTAGCAGTTTAATGCAAACATGGAGAACAATGAACGGCTTGGTCCCTAAGTGCACATTTTTAAAGGAGTACTGACAAGAATTGAAAAAATTTTTGGATTGTTGCTGTAAATTAAAGTACTGGTGCCAATGAACCTCAAAAAAGTGTCGCAGCATTACATATTTTTAATTTTGCCACCATAAAAAAGCAATTTCGGTTTCAGTATCTAAGGAGTGGCTTCAGTGGCGTGTCAAAGCAGTGTGTTGTCATGGGAAGACAGCAAGTAACGGCATACTAGCGGCAAGCCTGCCATCTGCTCGTGGTGCATGTAAACAACGATGAATGAATTGTCGTACAGTGACCCCCCCCCCCCCGGCAGTGACATTGACGATTTAGGCTGCATGCAGTATGCCGAGCTCACTAACTCAGCTGTCTTGACTTGTTGGGATAATGTCCATTGCAGTGGAGCTTGCTTGCAGATGCTTAGTGATGCAAACTTTAAATTCAAAATAAAATACTTTTTTATACGGGTTACCTGACTCCAATCTGTGGAGATCATTGACACTACATACTAAAGAAATAAAAAATGTTCAATTTGGGCTGCTTTCAAATTATGTCAGTTCTCTTTTAAGGATTAGTGTCCATATACAAACGAACTATGTACTGATATAACGACCACTTTTCACGACACTCACAAGCTAATTATAAATGGGTTCGACTGTATATGATACGAACTTTAAGGGACATATGAAGGAAGATTAAAAGGGCCACGACACCAAATTTTTGTTCGTAGTGTGCCATGCAGGTTAGTCCTTGGATATTCACGAACAAGCTGGCGAAACTTGAACACATTTCGTGGAACACTTAATTTATAATGAAAAGTTTTACAAATATACGAGTGCCACAAAAGTCGGACAACACTGGCAAACTCGCGAGCCGTGATGTAACAAGCCACTTGCTTTGCATGTGTCCGTCAAAGATTTTGTTGTTTCGTGGTCAGCTGCACGTACACTGAAGCTATTTCAGCTTTCTTCAGCTTCACAGTGTAAATTCTACAACTTGCAGAGGCTGAAACATTGGTAAAAGAAGACAGCTCCACTACATGAAATATAATATGTCAGACAGGCCATGCCAAAATGGCAGTCGCCGGCATCGGGCGGGGTTTATCGCCAGCGATTTGATATGCTGGGTTCAACGTCCCCAAACCACCATATGATTATGAGAGACGCTGTAGTAGAGGGCTCTGGAAATTTCAACCACCTGGGGTTCTTTAACGTGCACCCAAATCTGGGCCCACGGGCCTACAGCATTGTCACCTCCTTCGAAAATGCAACCACCGCAGCCGGGATTCGATCCTACGACTTGCAGGTCAGCAGCCGAGTGCCTTAGCCACTAAAGCACTGCAGCGGGGCCGCCAGTGATTTCTAGTGCTTATGTTAGAAAGATTCTTTTACAGACAATTTCACATGTATATGAGGAGACAATAAATGCTCTGCTTCCATTTTTCGCTGAAAACGGCAGTTTGGTGGATGACCATGTCATGGCCCCTTTAAAGAGAACAAGAAACATGCCCCTACTGATCTAGTATGTGACACAGGTCTCGCTTCCAAGTTTATTGGTTGAAACATTCATCCTTCTATACACCTTGAAAACTAGAATGACTATCAAATTAAAACTTACTTGAGATGCGATAGGATTCATCAGGTGTAACTCCTGGTGGCGCAAATGAAAATGATGGTAACATGTAACTGTAGGTGCGATAATCGCAGTTGTTTTTACAGTTGAAGCCTCTTGTTGTGCGCTTGATATCTAGAATGGCAATCATAACCTTGTTAAGACTAGAACAGCATTAAAACAATGACTTGGTTTAGATTCGCAAACTGCACTTTGGGAACTCCAATGCCATATGCTTCACCATCATAAGTTCAATATTAGCGGAGAAAATCAAGGTTGAAGTTTCATTCCTAAATTTTGTGCCGAAATTTTCCCGCGTGATGTAAGAAATTTCAAAATCTATTTTTGGTATTTTTATGGCATTGGCTCGATGAAATTTTCGAAAACTTTGCTCAGTCTACGGCACCCACAAATTGCAGTGTACTTCAATTTTATTGATTGGAAGCTATGTAGGACTCAGTAGATGCCTTTAAATTTTTTACGCCACGGTGTTTGGTGCGGGAATCTCAAAGTGGCGTCTCTACCCGCATTTTCTTTTCGCGGTAAGAGTGGTGTTTTAGAGATTGTGAAACTGCACTTTACCAATATGCAAAAAATCGTTCTTTTCTTTAGTGCCCCTTTGAGTAAAGACATACTAATGATGGAGAAGGTTCTGTTTATCCAATGAACAATGTATGTTACTTTCTTTTTGCATCAGAAAGTTGACACAACTAGCATAAACAAGTTGCATACAAAAACATAGCCACTGCTGCAGAAGGGCATAATACTATATATTTAATTTGATATTCCAAGTATTTTACTTTTGGTATATTTTCATTCAATTAGGAATCGCTTTTAAACACCCATGTTTTGCTATGACTTGTTTTCAATTTTTCAATGTAAACATGTGCCCCAGTCTAACCTGCATAAAATATTGATGTAAAACTAAATTTATTCAATGAACATGTTAATAAGGTTTTTTTTTCCTTTTGCAAATATTTTCCATTTAGACCCATCATTTACCTGTAGTGACACAAAGTAAACTTGAGTTTGTGTATATTTATCGGAGAAGCTTTTTTTCAACCTTATGAATGAGCCAATGTACTGCTGCACCAGATTCACTAGATGTGATCAATGAATTATGTATCATTCATGATGTAACAACCACCCTAATTTATCACTGTACATATTTAAAATGATCACGCTGACCCAATCGAGGTGCTTGCGATAACAAGCCTAAGCCTAGACGACAGACCTCCCGTAAACAATATAGCAGCATTGCAGGCTTCATTGCGCTCTCATGTCTGAAACAAAACTCAAGCATAATGCAAAATGTTGGCAGCTCTCAAAAAAAGTAAGAGAGCTAATATTCCCTGCTGCATCTTTATATTTACTGAGGTGGCAAAACTAGTACGTAGTTCACCACACAAAAGTTTTTTTCATGATATACTGCAGATATTACTGGCATGAACGCCAGCTGAAATTTTGTAATTAGAAAGCCCCAGAAATTTTCAGAATGGCAGAGTACTTCGAGCACTTGTTTCGTGATGAATAGCTACTGCAAAATGTTCAAACAATACTACTATAGCAGTGTTGCGGAGCTGCCATCTCCGGGAATCATTCCACAGTTTCACGACCCCGAACTGAAATAAGAATGCTGCATGGAGGAATGGTATGGGAATGAAATTAAGCGCCTTTAGCATGAAATGGAATGTGAATGAAGTTGCGCCTTTTTCCGCAAATAGAGCACACTTTCGCCAGTGCACTGTTTTTCAAATATCAAACATCAGTAAGTCACAGCCTCGAAATTAACAATAAAGCAGTATTTTTAAAATGGCTTGGCTTATAGCAAGCATGGTTCCTTTATAAGTGATGCGTACTTACATAGACTGAGTTGCTCCAAAGCTTGTCTCTATTCGTCCCATTACTATAGCTCTATGCCATTGGTATTCGTCATGCGAAACTATGACGGCATCATACCCCCCTTACACCTTGCGATCTTTTTTTCCCTCAGCAGCACTCCAGCCACCTGATGTCTCCCACCTTTCACTTCTTTGTTTTTGCTTCTGTCACCGTCGGCGACTTGGACACACATTCAAAAAAGCACTTATCCAAAATGTGATGCGTACTGATGCTGGCGCGATGCTTCTGTTAACTGCAAGCTTTTGCATACCAGCTTGCTCACCGTCTCACCTCATACTCCCTTCACTCTTTTGCAATACTGTCTCCCTTGTATAGACACACGGGCACCTTTGGCCAATACTGTGCGAGATATGTCACCAAGCTACTATGCCTCGAGCTTGGTAACATGTTTTATGTACATCTGCAGTTGTATTAATAACTCATGTATTATGTTGTATTAATAATCTCATGAGATTCGCTTTATTGGGTGTTCATTTTCAACTCGGTGAAACTATCAAGATGCCTTTCCTATGTTGAACAGTTATAGGAATGAAATTTAACTGCCCGGTCATTCCTGGAATGGGAATGGGCTAAGTTTTCTCACTCTGAGGAACTGAAAGGAATAGAACTGCGGAAAGTTCCAATTCCCCGGAATAAAATTAATAGAATGAAGGCGCCCATTCTACAACACTGTACCATAGAGCTGTCCAGTACCAACAAAATTTTTGAACAGGTATGAACAATTTGTACAGTACTTAATGTTTAAACTGCTAGGAACCTGATCATTTTAGACACTAGGGGAGCTCTTTTGTGCATGTTCTGCGACAGAATGGAACAAAATATCATGAGGGAATCTTAAAGAGAGCTGCATGGGATTGGACGAGGCTCGTAAGATGGTCAAACGTGAAAATAGCAACAACAAAAGGCAGTGCTGCCAAGCATTTCGGCAAGGAATGGGCACAGAGAAGGAGACACCATTCTGTTCAATAGAATGAATACAGAATGATCTATGGACGACTTGGATTGGATCTAAATGATTGGATCTAAAAAGAATTAAATTAGCTGGCTTTGTGTCTGGCTAACTACAATCCCGTGCCAATAGTTTGAGAAAATAGCAACCAGCTCCCAACACTGAACAATTCGTGAAACTGTGAAACGACCTGGAGCTAACTCAAGACATAAACACAAATACATTGTTAAAGTCATCCCACTCTTCAATTTCAATCTTTAAGATGTTCATGTTCAGCAATAATAATTCTATATTTCTGCATTCTTTGAAAACATTTCTAAATTTCCTCAGCCCTGCTACTGGCTGTTTGCTCCCTGTCATCCTACCATGATGTTTCGTTTTGTTGTCATAGAACACATGCTACATAGCTCCCTATGCACACATACACACCAGGATCCTCTGCGCCTGTGTTTTCACACTCATGATTCGTGTTCATGATTGAGCTTACAGCACATAACAATTCACTACAGTAGACTGTCAATAATGATAGGCAGATTATCAAGGCGAGGGTGCCAGTAAATATTTTAGGTTCTTCCTTTAGGCAATGTGGTGTTTCATGAGGAAGCTGAATTTCCTTGCAGCTTAAGCATAGGTTTAAGAAACTTGTGGCAGTGTGCTTCACTGCTACATGAAACATTTCCGTGTCCAGGTGATCACCATTTCTTTTTTGGAGGTTTTTACCATATTTTAACATGTATAACATACAAAAATAACACAGCAAATGTGAAGCTGAAGTTGGGGTGTGAGTTTTATACAAATTTCAATGTGCAAAAAGTGGCTTGACGGTAGTGCAAGAGAGGTGGAAGGGACAGAAGCAGCTGAAGCTGAAAGTAGGTGATGATGGAGCATGATTTGAAACCCAGTAAAAATGAAGATGACCTTTTAGAGTTTTCCAGCATAGTGCACCTAAATGTAACCAAAACGAAAGTATAAGCAAGCTTTTGCTTAGGGTATTTTAAATTACAAACATTACAAAGGGCTCGGCTGTAATTCTCCACGAACAAGGCACAGCATCAACTTAGTTCACAGATGTGTAGCGGGCAGGCCTGTAGCCAGGGGGGGGGGGGGGGGGGGAAGAGGCTTAGGGGCCAGGGCCTCAGCCTCAAAATTGAATGGAAGTGTGTGCTTTACCCCAGATATTAATAAAAATAGGTGTTTTTCAAAGTCTTTAACAGATTGACCCCCCCCCCCCCCCCCCCCCCCAAAAAAAAAAAAAAAAAAATTCCTGGCTTTGGGCCTTGCAGAGGGTATCATGCTTCTCCCCAGAATGATGAATAATGGCTTAGAGGGTGCTTACCTACATACTACACAAAAATTATCATGATTTATAGCATAGTGGGTGCCTTACAAGTGTACTTATATTAGTTGGCCCAGCCCAACACAGTTTACAAGAGGCCCTAAAAAGGCCGCTCTTCCAGCTTTCACTGACTGTGCAGCGTGTTTCGTGCATGTCTGGTATTTTTGAAAACTACCACCTTTGGGCCTCTTAGACATGATCAAAGCAATAACATTTAAGTATTTCATTAACCTGGCCCAGCTAAAAAAAAAAAAAAAAAAGAAAGCCCTCCTCTAATGTAAGCCAAAGGCAAATGTTACAGCAACTGTGTGGATGGAATGCAGCAATAGTTCAAATGAAGAAGAGGCATCGCAACGTTGAAGCTGAAAAAAATTGTTGACCACTCACCAATGACTCTGATCTGATCCACTAGATGGCTGTTGATCCTGGTCACCATTTCATCGATGGTGATATTGGTGGGTAGTTTAAGCGACACCACTTGTCTCACAGCAGAGACTCCTTTGTCTGTACGAGCTGCACGCTGAAACTTCACATTTTGTGGAATGTCTATGTGCTCTCTCTGTATGAGCTGTCCTTTGTACAAAGCAGTAAGCAGGTCTTCCTCTATTGTCTTTGTTCCTGGATTCCTGTGGACAAGTCACTCATCAGGCATTGTGCCTTAGGGTTGGCACCAGCAAGCAATGAAAGTGCCATGTTTAAAAGAAGCTTGAGATTTTAGTATCAACAAGTGCTTTCGGTTTCGCTTTGACCCTTGCAAGACAAAACTGCTTGCCAGAGACAAAGCTCGCCCAGTCAATCAATTTGTTTTCCAAACATGACATTTTCTTTCACTGTCTCTTAAGGAGAGAACACTGCTCCAAATTGTTTTTAAATTCTGGATCGATTTTGACGAAACTTGTTTGGTTTCTGTATACTTGTGAAATGATTTTGAATATGCACTTATTTTCAGGTGTAATGTGAAGTTCTTAAATAAAAGATACTTTATGTGTCTTTCGGAGAGTAATGCCTTCCCTAAACTGAGAAAGTTACAAAGTATATGAATATGTGGGGTTTAATGTCCCAAAACTACCATATAATTATGAGAGACGCTGTAGTGGAGGGCTCCTAAAATTTCGACCACCTGGGGTTCTTAAACGTGCACCCAAATCAGAGCATATGCGCCTACAGCATTTCTGCCTCCATCGAAAACGCAGCTGCCACAGCTGGGATGAAGTGACAAAGTAAATCTGCATATCACAATAATCTGAAATCAGAACTGCATGCACTACAACAGAAGTAAATGTTCTAAATTGGAACAAAGATATGGTATGTTGAACAATTGCAAGCAAGTCGATGTTAAGCTCCGATTTCACTCAGGAATGTTCGACATACATATTTTGTCTTGTTGCTGTATTTGCCTTTGTTTTCGTAGCTTTCACAGCACTGCATGTTTCAATTTGGTGCTTCACCACAACTTTGTGCTGTGATGTCAGTTCAGGATTCCATGCTTTCTTTTTGCTGCCCAGTTGTTGTTGTTTTTTTTTTTTTTTTTTCAGGGAGCACCCAGAGAGCAAACCAGTTTTTGTAATCAGGCAAAGCTGTAGTTTTGCACACTGTGTTGGGACACTTTCAGTACCAAAACAGCAGTTTTGTGACAATGATCACTTACAGTGTAGCAACGGGATGCACAGGTGTGGGAGTGGACTTTTGTGCTTTGAAGCAGCCCAGGCAGCCGGAATAATTCTGGAGCAGCTTTGGCACAGTAAAATGGGAGTACTGGAGCAGGTTCAAAGCACGGAAAGGAGTGTTTCGGATCAACGCAAGTTAGTTTTGAAGCATCTTTCTAGGGCCAAACATCACTGTCAACCGAAACTATTTCTGGTGAAAAAATTCCAATAGTTTTCACTAAGCATTTAGTACTAATGAGTTGACCAGACTTACTACCGATAAATGTGCATGTGTGTGTGTACACGCGCGTCTGTGCTACCATCATTAAACATCACAGCTGACAAAGAACAACTTGTAGAAAACAAGAGATAAGCTATGCTTATCTCTTGCTTTCATGTCAAATGAAGTGCATTCACCATGCACTTCGTTTGACAGATGTTGGTTTTTCCCACCCTAATTAAACAAGCTACTCTGCTCCTCTGTGCTCGGTCTGGAGCGAAGTGGGGACGAGCAATTTACAGGGCAAATCCGCGCACACGCTACAGCGAGAAACCCGGCAGGGATGGCGTGGGCTGCATATATAGGTGCCACGCTGCACACAACTAACCCGGAGATGAACGAGTCCACACAACCACTACGTGTTTCAATGAAACTGTCAGTTGTTGCTTAACATCAGATTGCGATAGAAAAGCTCACATATGTATCACGGAAAGCCCACCTGTTCTATCACTATCTCTGTCGCTGCGTATCTCGTACCCTGTAATAGTTTCAGAATGCTGCTTCGCCACTGCGCGCTATCAAATGATTGCACGGGAGTGTCAGCCCAGTATCTTTTTCGCACTTAGGCGAAAAGGAAGAAAATACTTTTTGATGGTTACTTTGGGCAGTATGATCATGGCGTGTTCCCGGCAGGCACAAATTATCGAGGTTTTACAGCATTAGTAGATAATTCACAGTTATTCATGTTGGTGCCACCACTTTTGCGCAGAAACCACGGCGATAACAGGGACGAGACAAGAACAAGCCCAATGACTGAAGCGAATTACGTGGTCATGATTGAACCACATAGGATATGGAGGCGGCCGTGTCCTTTGTGTGGCCAACACTCAGCGTTGATCGGTCGACGATAATATTCAGCTAAATTTGGCAGTTTATGCCTCCAATTGACTATTATCACAGACATTGCCATTTATGCGCAGCCTGGCGCAGCAGGTCAGATTGGTGCCAAACTGCGCAATTGGCGCAGCACTTCCACCATGTGGAATTGAATAATGAACTTGAATTTAATGTGGTGATAAATGCAGCATACAAGAGAGCTCAGTTTAAAGAAACCATGAGGGTGGTTAAAATGCACTTTTACCGAGGTGCAAAAGTAGTGTGTACAGTGTGCAAGCCACGTGAATTTACTTAGGGCAAGAAAATCATGCTAATTATGAAGAAACCAAAGAAATAATTGCTGCATGAGCAATAATATGACACTGCAGCACATATGTCTCTAACCTATATTTCTTGAAGTCAATTCAAAGAAGCACAGAAGTAAGTTATAGAAGTATACACTGTGGAAGCCTGAAATTGATAGTCAGTTTTAAGCAACAGCCATTCCAAACTTCACTAAGATATCAATGAGACCATTACAACAGAGAAACGAAAATGCAAATGAAGGCAACATGAAACATTGTCACGTGTGATTTTCCTAGCTGTAGGGTAATGGCCCCTCAATTGTCTCAATGAAATGAGACAGCTTCAAAATGCCCATATGTTCTACAGCAAATTATAAAAATTACACATGGGTGTAATTACACATGAGTGTATGCCATGAAGGAAAGAAGAGAAAATGCAAGGGCTTCTTTTTCTTTCTTAGACACAATGTTCGTGAGAACTGACAGACAATGATGCCTAGGAAAGTATAGGCGATGTTGTTAGTAGTAAATGTGAACTAAATGTGAAGAAAAGGGGACAATAACATGCCACTGTCAGGAAGTGAACCTGCATCCTTCGAATAACACATCCGATGCTAACTGAGCTACAGTGGCAGTCGTCTCCCCATTAACATTAAGGGGCATATTTACATATATGCATCTGAATATGGGAGTGTTAATCAGTGCCCCTAGGAGCCACAAAAGCGAGTGTAGAACACTTTTTTTCTGCCTGTTGGCACCACATACAATGTGATCTTATCATGAACTGACAACTGATCAATAATTTCTCGCATACCACCTGAAGGCACAAGTCCGCTGGAACGAGACCCTCGCTATTAATTAAGAAATGAAGAGGAAATTTAATCGCTCATTTTTCTTACTTAAAAACAACATTCATCATTGTCTGTTAGATCACATTATTACAATGTATGCCACATTATTTTGCTTGAATGCATTTGTTACCTTTGCATTCCTAGATAGTCCTTTCCATTGTAACACATGCACAAAGCCATCTTCTTTGCCTTCACTTTTAGGAGTTCTGGATTTTGTGCCTTGGAGAGGAAAAAAAAAGTAGGTTTGGCAATATGGGACAGAGTAAAAAAACAGCAAAGCATCTTTTTGTTGCGCATCAAAGAAAGAAAAAATGATCGTAAATACAGAAGTCAACATTACCTCAATATCTGATTTTAACCGCTTGGCATCTTGCTCTCCACCACTATCGTCCAGCGCACGTTTTTTTTCTATGACATTCTGTAGTTCTGACATGATGTTTGTGACAAATGGCCACCTAAGAAATTGTTTCTTTTCAAATGCTAAGCCTAAAAGGCGCTGCAGTGTCCCCTGCAAATCAAAGCATTCCAATTTCACAACAAGAACAAAATCATGTCTAAAAACAAAACACTCGACTTTCTAAATTCAGTCATCAACATCCTTTGAAACTTTTCAATAGCACAAGCATACATTCAAGTATCGACAAAAAGTTTATGGACATGACAAATAAGCATGTTTAGTTGCTAAAAAATCTCGTTAACACCCTAGCCAATTGCTATTCCTGCGTAAATAACAGGAAGCCATTGCTTGAATATATATAAAAAAGATGTCTTTTCACACAAACTACCTGAAATTTCCAAGACTTTTCACATGTCTCTTACACTGAGAAAAAATAAAAGGAGGATGACCGTCATGTTGTTACAACCGATGCCTCTGTTTGGTGTGAAAATTTCTCAGCAATGCAATTATTTTTCAACTTGACTTTCCTAAATAAAAATTGATAAATATTAGACCGAAAACAAGACGATTCAACTAATCTATTCCTGCTTCAAACAACAGTCACCATTAGAGTTGTGAAGAGACTTGCTGCTTAGCAAACGACAATGTCGCCATTCAATTTGTCATTATGAAGTTACCAAATGAAAAAAACAGTAGGTAACAAAAAAACATTGTGGCAGAGACAGACACTCACTGACAAATGAAATTTATTGAAAGGTTTCCAAGAAAGCAGAGCAAGTACGCATGCGACGTCATGAAAGACTTCCTGTCCACATTTTCTTCCCATTCTGTTTTTTTCGCCGGACTTCACACTAATGCATCAGCTGGCCTGACAAGGGTAACATTTGATTGCAAATAAGCTGTTTAATTACAAATTTATTCCAAATATTTTGTAAAAGGTGCAAGTTGACCTGTCAATAGATCTAATACCACCAAAACAGCTATACAGCCAAATGATCTTAAAACAGTCGTGCATTTATTCTGTGAACAGCCTGGTTTGGCCAAACATGTTCAACTTTTTAAAAGTTATTTAAACATATACTTTTGAACAAGACATTTCTGAGTATGGAAAATCAATTCCAAGGAAGTTCACATGGCGGAGGAACTTCCAGGAAAAGGAAAAATTGTCCCCCAACCAACAGTGGCACGTCTTATTTTTTTTCTCCTGTGGGCTTTCTTGAATACCAATTTTCTACACTCGCAGTCCCTCCACTTCCAGTTGCAAATATAGCATCGCTGTGCCACCCAGTAGCATCCTGGCTAGTTCAAATGGCAGAGCAACCACTCCAAAGAGTTTTTGGGCCCAGGCTTGATTCCTGTACGACCATAACCATTTTTTTTTTTTCATTTGGTATAATCTTTCCAACAAACCTCTACAAGTTCTCTTTGTCATGATGACACTCCTATCAAGTGTGATCATTTTCCCCTTTAATAACCTATATGGCCTATCGGAGTTTGTTGATATGAACTGCTTTTTTAGGAATGTTTGGTGGATTCAGCTTGTGTAGCACCCAACTCTTCAACCCAGTCTAAAAGTCACCCAAATACACATGCTTGCTGTATAAAGCACCATGAATATGTATTTAAAGTTTGTCTCAAAGTTGACTCCACTTCATATTCAGCTTGCCTGATATTGAAGCTGCATTTGCCAGCCAATGAGGAACAAATAGTTGCACACTCTTTTAATAATGGAAGTGGTATGTATTCAGAGTGCATTCTGTTAGTGCTAAAAAGGTTGCGTCAGACAACTGCAAAGCCATGTAATAGGAATAAGAGTGTCAAATAGGCCAACTTAAACTTCACTTTTGCCATTAGTGCCCACTAAAGGAAGTTTGTAGGAAACTATTTACACTAGCGCTTTAAACTTCCAATGAGCCGGAGGAAGTTAAACTAAAGGACATGTGAAGTTTGCACAGCAACACCAGCTGCTATTGGCACCTTGGAGGGGCCCTATGACACTTTTCTAAGTGACCATTGACTTCAAAGAAGTTTATTGCCTCATGAATCGACCACTGCAAAAAGTTTTAGGTTCAGTCTAGTACGAACAAAGTTAAAGGGATTTCTCACTCCCTGCAGTAGCCTAATCTCTTCTCTCAATCCCCAAACAGCACGCAGGAGGCTAAGACGGAAGGGGTGGGAAAGCAGTTATGTCAAAGGCGCCATCATCACTTTCACTTTTTCTTTGCTTCGAACGCAAAGCTTACTTTCAGCATGCTTTCAGCATGAGCACAAGTGTGGGCAAGTGACAGCCTCCTGTGGCAGTCGTGGTAACTATGCAGCTCACGATGCTCAAGCCAGCTGATAGCCGTGAATTTGAGCATATAGAGTGATTTTTAGACAAGAGGGAACAATTTCTAGCTGACTTTAAAAATTAATTGTAAACTCCAGGCCAAATGCTGCACTTAATTGCTAGGCTCGCATACTCTCAGAAGTCTTGAAGAAATTAATCAGCAGCGTTTTCAAACATACTGAAAAATTGTTGCAGGGCCCCTTTAACGATTGCTAGCATCAAGGGAGGTCTTGGGTCTCCATCAATGGAGAGGCAGCTGAGGAAACAACAGTCTCCATTGATAGAAGTAGACAATTCAGGGCACCAGATGCTACGAAGCACCTTGCATGGGAGTGGCACAATGACCAAACTTCTCATCAAGATCTAACACTGAAAAGCATACAACACACACATATGCTGAAATTAGTTTTACAACCTACTAGCAAGTAAAGCCTCTGTCAAACAAAACAACTGTCCTAACTCTTTTCCACAGTATGCACACTCCAGTCATTGATATAATAGAAATTGACCTTCTAGTGAATAGTTGTTGCTGCACTGAAATTTATTTCCCATAATATGTTTTGCGGTTAACTAAGAAAGTTAACCTGGCTCAGTCATAATAGATAAAGTTAAATTAATTGAAAAATAAACAGATAGCAAGAATATATGCATTATTTTGTCCAGAATTACTTTGGATCCAGTGTACTTGCATAACAGCAAAGTCTGGCCAGGAAAGTCATATATGCACAGTCAGCAGTCACTCAGTTGCAGGTGAAAAGTTCAGTTGTCAATCAGTTCAGTTTGTTGTAAAACGCGTACAACCTATAAAGCGCTACTGGGGCATTTTGCAGCAAAGGCCAAATGTCCTCTGCTTTAAGTTACGAAGTTAAATTACTTCAATGAGCACGTCTCGTGTTTAAAGCATGCTTTTCTGACAAGTTGCTACATAAATTTGCAAAGTTTCCCAAAGTGTATAGCGACAAGCGGTCTTAATAAAGATGTGGCACAGTTCTTATCAACTGTCGCTTTCTGCTAGTATCCTCAAAAATATTACACGAGAAAAGTCCACTTGTGATAAGAAAGAGTCAGCACTGCGGTGGCTTACAACACTCATGTCGCACCTTATGCGCTTGCTACAGGCATTAGCTGAAACCACGCGCTTGAACACTTTACCAACGCAGGTAGCCTATTCTTAACACCGAAAGCATTGTTTATATATCGTTTTTCTTTGTTTTGATGATGTATAAACAGTTATTTCTATATCTCGTTACATGTTGAGAAGGGGCACACGTATTCACCGTATATGGAAGCACACATGCGAATTTGGCAACCTTAAATGTCGGCCAAACAAAATTTGCATAGCAATATTGAAAGGCACTGGCTGCGGTGACAAAGCCCATCAGCGTAGTGAAATGGTAATAGTGGCGAGGCCTATCATAATAGTGATGCAACTATAGTAACAAGTTCCGTCACTGTAAAGTGGCGACTATGGTGAGAGAGCCCGTCAGCATAGCGTAATAGTAAACATTAGGGGGCCAGTTAGCATAAATTTGCAGTTGCTTTACATGTTACTATCACGCTGTTTCGGTGGCATAGTGGGTTGGCACACAGTTCAAATAGCAGTCGTCTTGCTTTATCAAGTTTTTTTTTTTTTTTCAGGGCAATGTGTTAACACCAACATTACTGCCCTGAAGGAGTCACAATTCTTCTTTTTAAAAGAACGTAAAATTGCTGTGTGCAGCAGTTGTTGTTGGACAGCAGTATCGGTTAGATATCGAGGCACAATGGGTGATGCATGATGCAATCTTAGTGTGCGACCCCAGTCTGAATCGTGCTAACCATATATATATATATCATAGCGATTATTCATTGATCATAATCATGAGCCTTTTGTGTCCAATGTGGGACGAAGACCTTTCCCAATAATTTTTGATTGACACTGCCCTGGCCGGGAGGTTCCATTGTGTTCCCGCACCAAATTTCTTCATTTATAGTCCTACTCAACAACCACCCTCGGCTGCGTTTTGCGTCCCTTGGCATTTATTCAGTTGCTCTAACTAATTATCTTTCCTACACGAAATATGTGCCCCAGTCCATCTGGTCAAAGTATCTTTCATGTCCCTGCATATACAGGACGAATATGACGATGACAAAACATAAAACGTAGTGCAGGTGAACAATTGCACTATGGGCCCGTCAGCACTTACATGTTTAATGTTTAATGTGCATACCATGCACGAGACATAGATTTATTAAAGGGTCCCTGAAACGGTTTTTTCACATTCCGTTTTAGATTAGACCACTACTGGAGCAAATCATCGGCACAAGAGTTCAATTGAAATACCCATTATGAACAGAGCTACGAGTACTAAAAAGGTAACCTCCTCCTGCGCTCCGCCTTTCACCCTCAACTCTTCCTTCGAGCACTCAAGGCTAAACTCCACCTTCACGACGCCTGCGTCACGATGTGGCGTGAGACTGTATACGCGTAAATCCTGCCGCGGATCCGATACTGGCAGTCTGTGCTGCACGTTCCGCAGCCAATCAGATCAGCTGGAAACGATGACATCAGTGGGGCAGAGTGTGTCGCTTGGTGTACGGGCAGTTGAAACCGCGTTTGGCTGAGTGGCAGTGATCTGGAGCGATTCGTAGCTTTAAAGAGTTGTAATACATTACACAGTTTACGCAGAGAGCTCAAATCGGTCTCTAAAAAACCCTTGGGGCTAGGTCTATCGCCTCAATGTGTTTGTAAAAATCATCAAAACCGTTTCAGGGTCCCTTCAACACTAACAAAACAAGAAATTCTGGATCTCTGCTTGGGATAATACAAGAAAGAAAGAACTCTACAGCTGAAATAAATTTATATTTCATTATATCAAACTGTGTCTCATTCTCACAAATGGTGTATGACAAAATGGTGTGACAAACTTCTAGTAATAAGTAAATACATGTTGGGGAGTAGTTTCAGCACTGTTCTTATTTATTGTTTGTCTCATTTGTACTTATTCCCTTATTTCATATAGTGTTACACAGGCATTTTGTGAGGCCACCGAAGTGTAAATTGAACATAAATGGTTAATTTTGTATTTATTTTATGCTTATGTATTTTGCTATATATTATCTATGTACAAGTGACAGGAGCTCTCTATACCTGCAAAGAAGCAGCTTTTCTTCTTGCCACCTTTTTTTTATTGTGTAAACAAAGACAAAAATTAAAACATGGATAATATTAAGGTAAAAAAAAAATCTGCTCCAACTCTAAGGGCAGTGCAGTTGGTTAGCGTGTCTCAACTAGCGCAAAACTACATTACGCATGCATTTCAATTTTGAGACTACTACGCCTGAAATTCTACAGACTTCACGTGATCATATTGGCTCCTTTAAACAAGGGTATATGCACGTCGTTATGTGTATGTGGAATATGTACTATTCAATATATATGTTGTCAGACGTATTTACCCCGCAGTGGGGTAAATACTCGTGCTATGTTGCACTCTTTGTAGCTGTCTTCCGATCACAAGATGACGCTTTTCCCATGGAATTGAGGCGTGTTCCATATGGTTCTCGACGACTGAAATGCAAACACACCGAAGACACGGGCATGACCAGTCATCTGGCAGCTTGCAAGAGCCGGCTGATGCGGCTAGGGCTTGAGTGAAGCACAAGGCGTGACATACTCGACAAAACTAATATACAAGAATGTATGTGCATCTAGCAGCATGGCTGTAACATACGCTGGGAGAAGGGAGCCATAGCGAGCTTGAATGCCGTCACCTCGCAGAGGAGTAAATGACAAAAACAATAAAAACTGCTTTGTAAGAGCACTCAGCACTTCAATGAGCTGGCCCATCACAAAAGTCGTCATAGACTGTTATGACAGGCCACTTCACTATTACGACATCCGTATACGGCTATATTGATTCGATGCTGTAGCTTCTGTGCGATTACATTGATGGTCATAGAAACTTGTTATTGGCAGTATTGCTACAGTGTTTACTGTGCGGGGGACTCAGACCAGGGCTTCGAGGCTGCCATTCTGCGAGACCGATCAGCTCGACTCAGCCGATTGACAGGTCGTCACTGGCCAGCGGTTCCTCCCGACATTCTGCTGTGGAACACTGTCCAACACGATTATCACTTAATATAAGTAACATCACTCAAAACAATATAGAAAACAGAAAGAATAAAGGAAAGGTTACCTTTTCCAGCAAGATTAGAACCGAGGTCACACAGCAACAATGCATCATGCATTGCTACTGCATTTCGAAATCCTAAAGGTAGGGTTGTCTAACAACCACCACAGGCAGCAACATGACTTTCTTTTCATAAAACAAAAATTAAGACTCAAGTTAAGTCAAAGTCTCTCCACTCCCGCAATATATATATATATATATATATATATATAAGAAGCTAGAGTTTGCCTAAGGACCAGCAGCACTACCACTCATCAAACAGTGCGACAAACCACTAGACCACTAAAGCGCACGGCAACAGGGCCTAAAATGACAACGTCCCGCTAATTTTGACGATTATACTGCGCTGACGGGTTCCCTCAATTTCATGTCATAGCTACGCCGTGTCGGGGACCCCGCTGTTTAAGACAGGCCCCCTCACTATTACCATTACAACACAGAATCCCACAACGACGACGGGCCCCCTCGAGTTTGCGACAAAACTGTACTGGCGGGCCCCGTCAACGTAGTCAATGCCATACTGAAAATTGCACCCAAAATCTCCTGCGCTCGTAGCTGCATGCACAACGCACGCAAGAAGGAACGCATACATGTCCCCACCACACGCCCGCCACAGCTGCTGTCATACAAACGCTGTGATAGTCGGGAATAACAATGCTTATAAACAATGTATGCGCACTCGTATGAACCTCACCACCATAGAACTTCGGTCACCAGGCGAACTCGGAGGGCATCAAATACAACTTTTGGCCAAACGGTCGCACACAGGCCATGCGGTTCGGACATGCATGCACCGATGCAGATGGATGATGATGATCGTTGTTGCGCTGCCTTCTTTTAACAGGCGATCTAACAAAAAATGTCAATCACTGACTTAATACGCTTGCTGCCGAACGTGTTCTATCCTGCATGTAGGTCGCACACCACCAGCGTTCTAATTACGGTGTACTGTAGTTCTAATCTTCGATTTGCTCTTTGAACTGCCTCCCACTGCGGTTTCTCCTCTTGCGCCTCTCGGAAACCCAGTGCAACGCCTCCTCTAGAAAGATGCCTGAGGAATGGCTCGCGCTCCCAGCAGAGTTGGCCTACCTTCAGTTTTAAACAAGCTCCGCGCGGTGGCGCTTGCGACCGACACTATTCAGGCTATTCACTATTCAGTTCGGGCTGTCACGGTGGACGGACGTGTTTTTTGAGCGCTCCGGATCGACTGCGCAGATAAATGTTTTTGCATGTTTTGAGCTTGTCTTTATAATTATAAGGCAGCGGTTGAAATCTTCGTAGCATTTATTTTATGATACGGCTTTTTCGGGGGCCAGTCACCAGGTATTTATTAGTTAGTGCGGGGGTGTGTCTAAAATTATTTGTTGTTGTTTTTTATCTTTTGCCACCCCGTGGGGGAAGTGTGCGTACATTGAACACGCAAATTTTTGTAGCAGAGCTTAGACTTCCTTTTTTTTTCGTAGTGCAGGGCTGAAGTTTAGTAATTATCGTGTATAGGGACAATTGGTGTCAGAAAGACATGGTTAAAAAGACTGTAAAGTGTTCAGGATGTGGAGTGGGTTTGAAAGTGGACCCAAGCGTAGAAGCGGATGGAGAAGAGGCTGACGCGAAGTGTACGCAATGCGAGATCGAGGAAAAAATGGAGAAAATGATGGTTGCCCAGAGTGATCTGCTGATGAGAATCGCCGAGCTCGAGACTGAGTTGGCGACAGAGCAAGAAAAAACGAGGGCAATGAGAGAAAGACTGAAGTCCGCCGAGGAAGCACTAGCGAAGCTGTACAAAGAAGCGGCCTATGGAGAGAACAGTAGGGAACCGGCAACCAGAACGGTGGAGAAGGAAGAGAAAGCAAATTTGGAAAAAACAGGTTTAGCCGGTTCAACTGTCCCAAGGCCCAGCTTCAGCGAGGTAGTGGTGGGGCTGGGAGGGGACAAAGCAACCGGCGTCACAGGTGCAAGTAGCCCCCAGGTGCAGGACGCTCCAGCTGAAAAGTCACAGCATGTGATAATCGCCGGGGACTCGAATTTAAATCGATGCACAGAAGCCATCAAAGAGAGGGTAAGAGGTGACAAGAGGGTTGCAGTAGGGGCGTTCCCAGGACGCAAGCTTGAAGCAGTCATGAGGCAAGCGAGCGCAAAACTCAAAACTACAGCTGATAGACGAAACCTCGTGATAATTTCAGGCGGTTTAAACGATGTCTTAAATAAAGATACAGCAGGACTAGCAGCCACACTAGCGAAAGGCGTCGATGACATGCGCGCCACTTCTCCTAAGGTACAGGTAGTGATATGCACGATACTGGAGGTATCGGTGCGTGATAGCAACCTGCAAAGAGCGGTTGTCAACGCAAACCAAGAGATATGGCGGATGAGTCGAGAGAAAGGCTTTGAGGTGGTGGAAATAAACAGAGAGGTGCATAGGTGGGGTGGTTTTCAACGAGACAGAATTCACTTCGATGGGCGGCTAGGTCATGAGGTGGGTTGGCGACTTGCAGGACGCGCAGTAGCTTTTTTGGGGGGCAAGCGAGCCCTTCGGGGTGCAGGATAGCTAGTAACGAGGAAAACAACCAGGGAGACTCTTCGACAGGTGGTATGGACAGATACGATTCCAAAGTGGCACCAATATCTAAGATAGGTAGAGTCCGGGGCAGAAATATACGTAGCCACGAGCGCCGAGCCAATTCAGACATAGGGTATATTAACATGCAGGGTGGTAGGAACAGGCTGAAGTGGGAAGAGATAGAAGAACAGCCAAGGGAGGAGAGGCCGATGGTATACGGTTTTGTAGAAACACATCTCAGGGACATGGAACAACCTCCGAACAATCCGGACTACGCGTGGGAGTATTGTAATAGAACAGAAGGCAGCAGAAAAGGGGGTGGTATTGGGGCATTCATTCATAAAAGTACAGACTGGAAAAGGGTCAAGCAGGAGTGCAAGGAACATTTATGTATCGCCATTCTCTTCGCCATTCTTCTTCGAGAGACAGATTCTGGCATAACTGGATCTGGCTAACTAGGCCCCTTCTGGGCAGGGTTAGGCAGCTCACTCACTCAGACTCGCACCCCGGAGGATATCGCCCAATGGGAGACCACCCCGGAAATGGGGTCGTCCTCATGGACGACCCCATTTCCGGGGTGGTCTCCCATTGGGCATTGGGCGACAGTGGCACCCGGGAGTCATGCACCGGGCGCCCGATAACGCAACGCGCAGTGCGGAAAACCGCGATATGATCGAGGATACGTGGCCGCGAGCCAAGCTGCCTTCGTGCTGTCCATCGATTTTAAGCTAAAATAGGCGAAAACGCCACACGCGGAATGGTAGCCTTCTGGCGATCCCGGCAAGCTGGGAAGCCTCGACCACTCCCGGCCGATCAAAGCGAGTGACTCAGTCCCTGTTTTAACCACGCCCTTCCGGAACCTATCGCAAGTCTTCCTAGCGACGATACACGACCGTCGCGTTTTCCCTCAACTCGATGCACATATCTCCAATGCCCTCACTCGCACACAAACGTACGACGCTCGGGAGCGTTGTGACGACGTCATGGCGACGGCGAAAAATTCACGTGAGCGTGGTAATCTAAGCCGCCTTTTGTCACAGCGCAACAGTGCATACGCCGCTCTTCTCTATCGGAAATACAGAGAAATGTCGTGACCTCGTAAACATTCGTACTAGTAATGCCGGCTGTCCCAGACACCACTAACAAATGCGGATCGCCATCGAAACAAAAAGAGCATACCTCTGCCACGTCCACGAGGCTGTCTCTGAAGCAGCACGGCCTCCATCGGGATCAAAGACCGTGTTTGCGACGCCAATTTACGACGAAAGGGAGGGGGGACAACTGCCTTCGGGACCGTTCGGTGGGTGGGAGGGGTGCTGCCGGTGGAGTGTAGCGTGCCAGCGAGGGACCTGCTGGCACCGGTTGCGAACGAGCTCCTTCTGGACTGGGCTGAGGCTCAAGCCACGCACTTAAGCTCGCAACACAGGGGTGGGGTTGGGGGCGATCGACCAATGGGAAAACGCCACGGGATAAGCGCGCTTTTGGGGCAGACGCTACAGCCAATGGGAAAGCGGCTCCATTGTTCAGTGGCGCTCGGGAGGCGTAGCCACGCACCGCGCGCTCGATCACACAAGGCACCGCGCGGAGCACCGCGAGAGCACGGATGGTCACGTGGATGGAGGCTTCTTCGTTGCCATCGTAGCATGCATTTAGTTGGGTAAAACTACGACGTAAACTTTCTGTATAGATACGAAAAAATTCCTTGACTACAAGACCATTCCCCTGCACTGCGTATGAGCCATGGTCACTGAACCACCTCCGAGAACCAATGACTGTGAACACAGTGAACCATTATCACTGAATCAAAGACAGACAGACAGACAGACAGACAGACAGATAGATAGATAGATAGATAGATAGATAGATAGATAGATAGATAGATAGATAGATAGATAGATAGATAGATAGATAGATAGATAGATAGATAGATAGATAGATTAGATAGATAGATAGATAGATAGATAGATAGATAGATATATAGATAGATAGATAGATAGATAGATAGATAGGCGGACGGACGAACGGACAGACGGATGCACAGACGAACAGATAGTTTAACACCACATATCAAACAGACAGATAGATGGACGGACGAATGAATGATTCATGGTTTACCGATAAAATGGTCTGAAGCTTTAAAATGGTTTTAAGCTTTACAGAAACAAGTCAGTAGCAATGATAAGAAAATCCAAGAAGTGCTACTATACCAACCTAGTGAAAAAAAATGATGGTAACACGAAGAAAATATGGCAGATTGTTAAAGACGTCACTGGCATGGGTAGCAAAGAACGCATTACACCTGATAATCCAACTCGTGAAGTGGCCGACAACTTTAACGATTACTTTACTAATATTGGTCTCAGCCTTGCGAGGAAGTTCCCTACTCATATGCAGAATTTAAATGCACCCTGTACTGTTACCAATAATTTTGATTTATGTGATGTAACTGAGGATGACATCCGACAAGTAATTAATAAGTTACCAGGGAACAAGGCAGCTGGACATGACGCCATATCATCAAGGATTTTAAAGGAGAATATTGATGTATTGTGTGGTCCCTTATGCCATATATTTAATCATGCATTTTCCTCTAAAACTTATCCTAGTATACTTAAGACCGCCAAAGTAATACCAGTGTACAAATCTGGTGATCGGAATCTTCCGGACAGCTACAGACCAATATCTGTTCTGAGTAGTATTAACACTACGCTTGAAAAACTAATTTCGTCGCAATTAAGGCGCTTCCTGGGTGAACAGAATGTACTTTGTCCCCAGCAACACGGCTTTGTTGCAAACAGGTCCACTTCAACTGCTGTTTCGATGCTTACGCAATATATTAATTCCGCGCTACATGAAAACAACATAGCAATAGCAGTATTTTTAGACATACGAAAGGCATTTGATGCTATTAGTCATTCCATTTTACTGGAAAAAATGCATTCTTATGGGATAAAAGGTAACTCGCTTGATTTTTTTTCTAGTTATCTATCGGCACGCAAACAAAAGGTAGTCATTGGTGACATCAAATCATCCTACGGTTATATTAAATGCGGGGTGCCACAGGGTTCAGTTTTGGGCCCTATATTGTTCTCTCTTTATATTAATGATGTCCCGCGATCCCTACAAAGGTCAAGGGCACTGATGTACGCGGACGACACTGTTTTAGTTTTCACAGGACACTCCTTAGCAGATTTACAAAATGACGCGATGACCGATTTATCGAACATTTCGGAATGGTTTGCCAGGAATCAGCTGACAGTTAACTGTACTAAAACAAAGTATATGGTGTTTCACTCTCGTAGGAAACATATTGACGCTGAATCTCTTAACCTAACAATAAACAACACTCCTATTCAACAAGTTCCTTGTTTTAAATATTTAGGCGTCACTTTTGATGAACACTTACACTGGCATGAGCAAGTACAAAGTGTGTGCGCAAAGCTAGCCTATGGCTGCTATTCTCTAATAAAAGCTC